AATTTCATTTGCAGAGGACGTTAAACTAGATTTTTGCACTTTCTGAAGAAAACGTGAGTGGTGCTTCACAAAAGTAAGAAATCATTTTCAAAAAAAACTTTTTTTATGACCATACATACCCAATTCCACATGCACAACTGACCCCACAGGTCACGAGCCAAAACCACCTAAAAGATGAACTGAAAGAAGAGAAAGCGCATGACACATTACCATGAAATTGGGGCAAATAGCATTACGGTCACAGAAGGCTGACAAGACAATCCATTTACTTTTTTATCCAAAGCGACTTACAAATGAGGACAATCCAGATCTGAGACTGACAAAACAGATATCAATTATTCTTACTTGTGTGCTTTGTAAAAGCGGAGGTAAGACAGTACAGCTAACAGCAGGAAAAAGATTAGAACAGACTCCAGCAGCATAAAGCGTGATTGCACAATCAAGGAGTTTTCTGTAAAAATGAAACAAAACTATTTAACCTACAGTAACAGGCAGGAAAAACCATCATTAGGCAATGACTTGAAAATGATATGCTAAGCACTTACCCATGAGGAGGAGCACACAGGCCCCCAGTGCTGAGGAATGGGAATATCCAAGCTGCACCACCAGAAGATAAGCAAGAGGTATACAAAAAGAGCCAGCAAGGGCCGGTATTACCCGAAGGCTCCAAACGGGAACATTACTGGTGTATTCTACAAAATACCCAAAATCAGTAAGAGTAATGCAATTACTAATGCCTGTGTTTGTAAAACAAAAGGAAAGTTGAAATGTTGTCTTGACAAAGCCTTGCCTGAACATTCACAACAGTTTTTAAGGTTATATAAGACTTAGTGTGTCATGTAGCTTGATGCAATGTAAACATTGCTAGGTGGTTGCTGGGACATTGCAAATCAGTCATTTCTGGTTCTGATCACTTATAAAAAAAACTGCATTAGTCAGAACAGCCTAAAAGACTGTGCCATACTAGTTTTCATTTGCTCTAGTGGCCCTCAATCTGTTTTTCAGTATACAGTAAATACTAGAGGAATATCTTATCAATATGTGGGGTGTTAAACAATGGGGTGTCTTCAAGGTCTAGAACAGGGATTCGCCATTCACTGTGCGATCTCAATAGTGTGTGTGTAAAAAAAAAAAGTGTGAAAATATGAATTCAAAATTAAAGTCAAATGTTTCACTGTTCATCTCATATTAAAGGTAAAATTAAAATCCAATGTATATGGCAATGTGCATCAATGATGATTATAATGACTTTGAAATGTTCACATCATAGCAAAGTATGTAGTCAAATGTTTCACTGTTCATCTCATATTTGAAGAAAAAGTCAAATTCAAAGTATATGACTTTGTGCATCAATAATGATTATTTTAATGGCTTTGAAATGAAAGCATCATAGCAAAGTATGTAAATACATTAATATAGTACTAGATGCATGGTATTGGACCAGACTTAAAATACAACACTATATCTAACAGGGGGTCCGTGTTCTGACTCTCTATCTACCAAGTGGCACTAAAATAGTTTAACGTACTGCAACTCCTCTAGCTCTTATGCGCTCCTCATTTGGGAGTCACACTCACGGTCTTCGCGGTCAACCTGAAATGTAACTTTTTTTTCTTCAGTAAAATCAATCTAATATATTGTTGTTCAATAATATCTTTTCTTTTGTATTTTGAGAGAATTTTATGGTACTAATTAATATTTATGCAATAATTATGATAAAGTTTTCCCATTGAAAATAGTACAAAAATAGTTTTTCTAATTTTTTACAATTATTTTTCAATCAATGCAGTATTTCAGATTAAAATAGAGACTAGGCCTTTAAAATCCAATTTTTGAAGGCAGAATATAGCACCTCCTGGTGAGAACAAAAAAGGAAAAAAAAGAAAAAAGAAAAACCTGTAATTTCACGATGTAACCACTAGATTCCTGTATAGGACTCTATAGAGAGGCTTGTGAATTCCCTAGTTGTTTTTATACATAATTGTTTACTTTTATTAGGTTGTGGATTTAAATGTATATTAAGGCATTCTCAAAGACTACTTTTTGTCAAGGTTTATATTTTTAGTTGTTTGAAATGTTAATTTGAAATGTAGGTTTTTGCATTATTGTAACAATAATGTAACAAAAATTAACAGGAACGCTTTATCAGAGCTTAATCCTTCTGGGTCTGATCCGATTTTAACCTCTTATTTCAGTCTTTTGACTCATTTTGGCTATATGGTTACAGCCATACCAATTCGTTTGAGTGTGTATAATTCTGTATGTGTGTGACTGTGAGTGAGTGTGTGTGAGTGGATGTATCTGTTTTACATTCTTGATGTTTTTAGAGTGTAACCCCTTCCTTGCTGTCCACTTTTTCACTGCATTGTAGCTGAATTATTTATTTATTTATTTTTTTACATAGTTGCAGCGTTACATTCACACCAGTTTATAGGTGTGTGTGTGTGTGTGTGTGTGTGTGTGTGCGTGCGTTGGTGTGTTGATTTTGCACTCTAGATGTTTTAGAGTTTCACCCCTTCATTGCTGTATTTGCTGTATGAAAATTGTCTGTATTTTCGACCATGAGTGTGACTATTTTTTTTACGACCAAATAGCATTTTTTCGAATCATGCCCTCAATTTGTTTTTTTTATTTTATGTTCACATACCAAGTGCCATAAAAGTCACCAAGTTTCGTACCATTCTGGTGAAGCTATGATTTTTAAAAATTCAAAATGTAAAATTCTCCGGTCAGAAGTGACCGAAGACCGCACAAGGGCTAGAAGAAGTTAGAATTGTCTTAGAGACAGTAAAAACTGGAAGGTCTGTACATGAAGAGTTATTTGGCTTTGTCAGCTCAACATAAACCTGTATGAGATGATCACCTGCTCCAATCCTGTTCCAAACAAAGTTGCCATCAAATCCCCCTAAATACGCTGCAAAGATAAATAATATGCATTAGTAAATATACATAAAGTGGCTTACTTCATGAATATAATTTATAAAGTATCAAATATCTTCTCACCTCCTAAAGCTAGTATCATGTGGCCAAAAGGTGGACCACTCTCATCAATGAAAAACACTTGCTTCATGTACAGAGACAGGAACTGTCCGTAATAAACTTCATCAAACCTGTAGCAGTATGCAAACATGATATATACATATGTGCATTTCTTTTAATCCACAAAATTAAAAGAATGAAAATAACTAAAAAAAATAAATTAAAAAAAGACAATTAAACGAAGACTTACACAACAGCTTTAGGAAGGTGAATGCCATACAGTCTGGTCACGAGCGCTGAAACTGTCACTGCCACCAGCAGCAGATTGATCTCCACTGTAACACTGATGGGCAGTTTCACACACTGCATGTTGCCTGACTACATCCATTCATTGTGGTAAAACATACCGTTATTACTATATACATATTCATTTATTTGCATATACAAACACGCAGGATCCGGCATGGAAAATGCATTTGCATATTATGTAAATACATGTAGGCCTAGTTTATTTACCTTGATTCAGTTAGATTTAGTTGTGAATTTCTCAAGAGTTTCGCAATCATTGGTCAACACTGCTGCTTTCGTGACTACATGTGCTGTGTCTTTCCGCAAAATGTAATGAATACCGACCTTCGCTAAACCTTGACTTTATTAAAAATGTATACAGCTGTGTCTCTGGCACAAGCGACAGCTTTAGTCTTCACCTTAAAAACACTTAAATGTATAAATAAACCGACGGTATCTAGTATGTGCTCTAGTGTTTCCGGGCAGTATTGCCCACATTTCAAAATAAAAGTCCTGCATTCCTGCACTTAGAAGATGAATCCCTTGTATGACACGAAAAAGTATTTGGGCACGTAAACCAAATACTAAAAATATCAAGCGGCATTTATTTGAAAGAAAAATAACACAAACAAAAGGCAAATCGTAAAAATAATTAACTAGGGTGTCTATTATAGAAATAATTTTGCAACATGAGATAAACTGTCCAGATTAAGTCAAAAAATGGAGAACTGACTTTATACATCCACTAAAAATAAATGTGATCAAAGTAATTGAAAATGTTAAAAAATAATTGAAAAATGAAGAAGAATCAGAATAAAGGTCTTGCATCATTTGTTTGATGTAACTTTTATGATTATTTATGCATTTTAAAGTTATAGTTATTATGTGAGCTACTTTGCTATGAGTGAGGGTTGTGAGAGAAAAAATAAAAATAAATCAAACAAATACTGTAAGTGTGTGAAACAACTGACACATCCATTGATCCATCCTTTTTCCAAATCACTTGTTTTATGTGCTGTAGGGTCATGGGGTTGCTGAAGCCTATCCCAACATACAACTGACACAAATAAGTTCAAATAACCTTAATAATTCATTACTTTATTTAAACATTTAAGAAAAAGCAACTGACAAATCACCGTTCAGGGAAATATTTTCACAGGACAATCACAGAGGTCAAAGAAAGAAAGTAATTATTTTTGCATTTCAACATTGATGAAACGTGAAGCTACCTGAACTGCTCTGCTAACAGAATGGAGTGTAAAATAAACAACAAACCCATATCATTACACATTCACAAACATTTGCTACTTAAAAGATATTATAATAATGCTAAAAAGGTTGCAGTTACAAAATACATTGAATTGTATTAAGTCTTATTTGAATCTCACAGCAAAGAAAGAATTTTCTTGGCAATAAAAACAAGGGCAGTTGTGGCAGATACTCTATAATTTGGGGATATGCAATCACAAAACGTGTCACAAATTCACATTTGAAAGGTACATGGTATGTAACAGAAGCACGTACACTCTTAAAAATAAAGGTGCTTAAAAGGTTCTTCACAGCGATGCCATAGAAGAACAATTTTTGGTTCCACAAAGAACCATTCAGTCAAAGGTTCTTTAAAGAACCATCTCTTTCTTACCTTTTTATAATCTGAAGAACCTTCTTTCACCACAAAGAACCTTTTGTGAAACAGAAAGGTTCTTCAGATGTTAAAGGTTCTTTATGGAACCATTTAGACAAAAAGGTTCTTCTATGGCATCGTGAAGCACCTTTATTTTTAAGAGTGTAATGCACATTGGAAAAATGTTTCAAACGAACACCTATGCTGTGTGAGCACCTGTGTACTCTAAAAATAAGGAACGAATTAGATCAATTTAGCATCCAATCCAGAACCAAACTGAATGCAGTGGAGTGGACTGTTGCATGTTTCATTTAACTGAATATAAAAATAGTGCTACACATTAAAAACTACCTCTATAATGTATTTGCAATGCATAATATAGAAGAAAAATGAAAAAAAGTGTCTAAACTAAAGATATAGTTAGACATTTATCAACTAAATGTTACACTGAGCATGCATATTTCAGTCAATCCTAATTTCAAGAAACACCCGTTTTATAAAATCCCAAATATTTCAGAAAAAAATACAAAATATAGTTGTTGAAAATAGTTTGCATTATTTTGCATATGAAAATGTAATAGAAAATTTCACATTATGTATATAATTGGCTGGTCCCTTAAGCAATGCATAGGAGGCTTGTACTAACACAAGAGCCACAAATCACTAATCTGCTAAACAATTCTTGCCCTAACATGGCGTTTTGATCTGCGTGCTGATGTTGAGTCAGTAATGGCTTTTCTTTTCCTCTGATGTCTCTGTTTCGCTGTTCGTTCTACTTCTGATTCAGAATCTGATTCATCTTCCTTCTTTTTGGATTCATGCATTTGTAGCCTCATTGATTTTCGTCTGGTTGAAGCAGTAGTTGAGCTACTCTGAACAACATGCTTTCCAATGGAAAGACCTTTCTCATCGTCATCAGAGATATTTTCTTCACCTTTCTCATATTTTTCTACAGATGGGGATATCTCTTTTGGAGCCTCCATCACCACTCTGCTCTGCTCATCTACTTTGTTTTCTTCTTGATCAGAAGTTTCCTCTACCTCCAACGCTAAAGTGATGCCCTCATTTGTACTGGACTCAACATCTACATGTTGCTCTATCACTTCCTCTATTATTTCATCTGTCATAACCTCTTTTTTATCCTCATCAGTCTGGGTTTTATTTAATCTGCTCTGTTTTTGCTCCTCTTGAGATTCACCTGCACCTGGCTCTGTGTCTTTATGTACATTGCATTCTCCATCAGATTTAGTCCCTTGTGCATTTTTCTGTATTTTTTGTAGTGTTTCTTCACCCAAATGACTTCCCTCAAAAACTGCTGCAGTTGCATCTGACCTCAGCTCTACACTGTCTTCTGTAAATGTCACTTCTACTGAGTCAGTTTGTCCCATAACTGCCTCCTTGACTTGCTCACTATCGTCATCATGCTCTTGTTTACGAAGACGTTTAGATTTCCTTGGAGCAGCTGTTTCTACAGTCATTCTTTTTCTCAGGGATCTCATTTCCACTGCTTTTTCCTCCAAATCAGCAGATCTTCCTTGCACACCTTCTGCGGCTCCCTCATTTTCTCTTTCTTGGAGTGGTTTTGCTTCCTTCTGTACACTGGAAACCTCTTCCTCCTCCTGTTCATTAAGCATCGGCATATCTTCTCTCTCAAGATTTTCTTCTTGAGCTTTGTTCTGTTCAGTGTTTACCTGGCCGCCACTGTTACTTTCCATGATTTCAAACAGAATTTTGTTTCCTTTCTCCTTAGTATCATCTTTTGTCCCTGTGTTTTCTGACTTTCCGTCTGTATTTGTCTCAATTACGCCCTCTCCCTCTTTTGTCTCCAAATTTTCAAATTCAGCAGTGCTGTCCTCAGCAATTAATGCCTCATTCTCCTTCCCTGTAGGGACATTTAAATGATCAGTTTCTCTTTCTGACTCCAGCTCTTGTCTGTGGAGGTGTTTTGATTTACTTCTTGGTGTAGATTGGACTGTTACTGTTCGGTATCTGAGGCTTCTTGTAATGAAAGCTGCTTCTTGCTCTGAGTTTTCTAAAGCAACCTTCTCCTCCACAGCTGTTGTCTTAAATTCATTTGTCAGATCGGTTTCCCCCACATTTTCACCCAGTGACACTGCTTCTTCTTGTTGCTGCTCTGTGTTTTCCTGTGAAGGCTCTGCTTTTTTTTCTTCCTGAACTCCCCCCTCTACATCTTTTTGCATTTTATCCATTTCCAGCAGAATTTCATTTTCAGTTATTTTAATTAAGGTCATAGTCTCCTCTTCTTCAACATCTGTAGATATTTCAGGCAAAGCTTCATCCACCCTTCCCTTATCATTTGATATGTCTATGTCTTGCTCATCTGAAGTAATTTCCTCCCTTTTACTCGCATCTCTATCTTCATCAAGATTTTCCACATTGGTCTCAACGGTGACCGGTACACAGACATTTACCGTCTTTGCTGTCATTGAAGAAGTTTCTTCATTTCTACTCATCTTTGCTTCTTTTACTGGTTCCAACTCTGCTTTGTTGAGACGTGCAGATTTTCTGGTCTTCTGTGTAGATGTGATGGATTGTGAATTGATCCTTAGGCTTCTCCTTGTCGTCCTTTCACTTTTATTTTCATTGGTTTCAGAGCTTTCCACCTGCAAGATCTCTTCCTCTGCTTGAATGGGTGTCTCCTCTAAAACGTATGTTTGCTCCTTGTCAACCACCGAAACTTCATCCATCCCCGTGGGTTTTTCTGTTTCTTTCTCATTTTCAACAGATAGCTCATTTTCCTGTTGCTCTAAATTGACTTTGTCTCTTTCCATCTCACGGGTTGCCTCATTCCCTAAATTTGTTTCCTTGTTCTCCATGTTGTTAATTTCTTCAAATCCTTTTTCTATTACATTCTCATCAGGTGCTCCTTCTATAAGTGAGACAATGTTCTCAGTAGCTTCTACAGTTGTTTTTTGAAGTATTTCCTCTTGATCTATTTCTGTTCCTTCTTTATGCACTTCTTCATCTCCTTTTCCTGTTAGTTGGACTGTTACAGTTTTATCTTCAAAAACTTCAGCCTCTTGTCTTTGTGCTCGTCTAGATTTCTTTATTGGTGGAGACTGAATTTTTACTGTTCTACGCCTGAGACTTCTCTCTGTGTTGACTGACGCCTCCTCTTCTAAGACTTCCTGAACAGTTTCTGGTGCCTCCTGAGCAAGACTTCTCATCTCTAGGTCACTATCCATTTGTTTCTCTTTTAAAGAAATATCTTGATTATTTTCTGTCTCCTGAATTATATTTGTTTTGTCTTCAATTGTTGTTGCTTTTGGATGTTCTCCAGATGTTACACTTTCTTCCACATCTTCATCTATGACCATCTTATATTCCTCTACATTCTCTCTCTCCTTTACATCATTCTGTCCTAACAAATCGTCTGTTGGTTTTTGCCCCTCAACTGTCATGTCTTGTTTGTCCTCTTCTGATATCAGGTTACATAGTTGATATTCACTTTTATCTGGTTCATACAGTTCCAGTTGTTCCTCTGTGTGAAAAGGTGTCAGGACATCTGGAGTGTCAGTCTGTTCTTCTGTATTTTGAGAAAGTTTGTTTAAATCTACAAGTAATAGTGTGTCTGTTTGCAGTATTACTGGAGTACCATCATCTTTCTCTACCTCCTCATCAGGTTCTGCTTCTTTAGGTGGGACCTCCTTTACAATCTGAGAGGGCTCCTCTTTATCATTTATTTCTTCACCCATCAGCAGTTCAGAAGTCTCAGGTTCAACAGCTGTAGTTTCTTCAACATTTGTATTTGCTATTTCATCAAGACTTTCCAAGTTGCTCTCTACTGTAATTATTGGCATACACACATTCACAGTCTCTTCCGTTGTTGCTGAGGTTTCTTCATGTTCATTTCTACTCATATTTGTCTCTTTCACTGGGTCCAACTCTACTTTGTGGAGACGTGTAGATGTTCTTGTCTTCTGTGTAGCTGTGACTGATTTCGCACTGAGCCTGAGACTTCCCCTTGTGATCCTTTCATTGTCACTTTGATCGGTTTCTGTGCTTTCCCCCTGTGAGAATTTCTCCTCTATTTGAATGGTGGTCCCTCCTACAACGTATGTTGGCTCCTTGCTAACCACAGGGTCAATCTGCAGTTGTATTACTGGAGTACCATCATCTTTTTCTACCTCCTCATCCCGTGTGACCTCCTTCTCTATTTGGATGGTGGTCCCCCCTACAATGAATGTTTGCTCTTTGCCAACCACTAGGTCAATCTCCATGGATTTTTCTGTCTCCGTTGTTTCTTTGTCATTTTTAACCAATGGCTCATTTTGTTGTTGCTCTAAATTGGCTTCTTCGTCCACCTCAGGTGTCTCCTCATCTGTGTCTCTTGTCACAGCTAAATTTGTTTCCTTGTCCTCCATCTTGTTGATTTCTTCAACTCCTTTTTCTGCTATATTATCTTCAGGTTCTGCTTCTACAAATGGGATGAGCTCAGTAGCCTCTACAGTTGATTTCTTAAGTGTTTCCTGCATTTCATCAACTACCTTTCCTCTTATTGGGATGTTTCTAGTTTTATCTTCAAAAGCTTCAGCCCCTTGTTTTTGTAAACGTCTCGATTTTCTTCTAGGTGGAGACTGAATTTGTATTGTTCTACGCCTGAGACTTCTCTCTGTGCTGACTGATGCCTCCTCTTCTAAGACTTCCTGGTCAGTTTCTGGTGCCTCCTGAGCAAGAACACTCATTTCTATGTCACTGTCTGTTGGCTTTTCTTTTAAAGTAATATTGTGATCTTTTTCTGCCTCCTGAATTATATTTGTTTCATCTGCCATTGTTGTTGTTTTTTCAGGATGCTCTCCAGAATTTACTGCTTCTTCCACATTCTCATCTACAGCCCTATAAACTTCTACGATCTCTGTCACTTTTAAGTCATTTTGTTCTTCCAAATCTTCTGTTGGTTTTTGCTCCTCAAATATCATGTCTTGTTTATTGGGTTCATTCTGTTCTTCAACTGTGTTATCATCCTCCATTTTGTCTTTCTCAGGGGTCTTTTCAGTATCTTCCTCTTTTTTTAGTTGTTCTAGCTGTTCTTCCTCTTCTGATGTCAGATTACATAGTTGATATTCACTATTATCTGGTTTATCTTGTTCCAGTTTTTCCTCTGTCTGGGAATGTGTCAGGACTTCTGGAGTGTCACTCTCTCCTTCTGTATTTTGGGAAAGTTTGTTTAAATCTACAAGTACTACTGTGGCTTTCTGCAGTTGTATTACTGGAGTGCCATCATCTTTTTCTCCCTCCTCATCAGGTTCTGCTTCTACAAGTGAGACCCGTGAGACCTCCTTCTCTATTTGGATGGTGGTCCCCCCTACAATGAATGTTTGCTCTTTGCTAACAACTGGGGCAAACTCCATGGATGTTTCTGTCTCAGCTGTTTCTTTGTCATTTTTAACCAGTGGCTCATTTTGTTGTTGCTCTAAATTGGCCTCTTCTCCCACCTCAGATGTCTCCTCACCTGTGTCTCTAGTCACAGCTAAATTTGCTTCCTTGTTCTCCAACTTGTTGATTTCTTCAACTCCTTGTTCTACAACATTATCTTCAGGTTCTGCTTCTACGAGTGGGATCACCTTCTCAGTAGCATCTATAATTGATGTTTGAGGCGCTTTCTCTTTATCAACTATTTCTACACCTTGATCCACCTCATCAGCTTCCGTTTCTGTTATTAGGACTATTTCAGTTTTATCTTCAGAAACGTCAGCCCCTTGTTTTTGCATACGTCTCGATTTTCTTCTTGGTGGAGACTGAATTTTTATTGTTCTACGCCTGAGACTTCTCTCTGTGCTGACTGATGCCTCCTCTTCTAAGACTTCCTGGTCAGTTTCTGGTGCCTCCTGAGCAAGAACACTCATTTCTATGTCACTGTCTGTTGGCTTTTCTTTTAAAGTAATATTGTGATCTTTTTCTGCCTCATGAATTATATTTCTTTCATCTGCCATTGTTGTTGTTTTTTCAGGATGCTCTCCAGAATTTACTGCTTCTTCCACATCCTCACCTACAGCCCTATAAACTTCTACGTCAGCCCCTTGTTTTTGTATACGTCTAGATTTTCTTCTTGGTGGAGACTGAACTCTTTTTGTTCTTCGTCTAAGACTTCGCTGTGTGCTGACTGGTGCCTCCTCTTCTAAGTTTTCTTGAACAGCATTCTCCTGGGCAAGACCGCTCACCCCTTCATCCTCATTCTGTTTATTTTCAATTTTATTGCTTTCCACCAGGCTGCCCTCAGCTGGCATTGTGGCCAAATCTTCAGTTGGCTTTTGCTCTTCAAATGTCATGTCTTGTTTATCGAGTTTGTTCTGCTCTTCAACTGTGTTTTCTTCCTCCATTTTCTCTTCCTCAGGGGTCTTTTCAGTGTCTTCCTGTGTTTGTACTTCTTCTTGTTGTTCCTCCTCTTCTAATGCCAGATTAGACAGTTCTTGTTCACTTGTATCTGGTTCATACAGTTCCAGTTTTTCCTCCGTTTGGAAATGTGTCAGGTCTTCTGAAGCCTCACCCTCTCTTTCTGTATTTTGGGAAAGTCTGCTCAAATCCACAAGTACTACTGTGGCTTTTTGTAATTTTATTGCTGGAGTACCATCATCATTCTCTACCTCCTTACCAGGTTCTACAAGTGAGACCTTTTTTTCAGGACCATCAACAATCTGAATTTTTTTCTCCTGATCATCTATTTCTACACCTAAAGGTAGTCCGGAACTCTCTGGAACGGCAGTTTCCTCAGTATTTGTGTTTACTATTTCATCAAGACTTTCCAAACTGGCCTCGGTTGTAATAATTGGTATACAGCCATCCACAGTCTCTTCTGTTATTGCTGATGTTTTTTCATATTCATTTCTACTCATGTTTGGTTCTTCCACTGGCTCCAACTCAGCGAAATGTTCTTCTTTGTTCTCCATCTTGTTGACATCTTGACCCATTTCATCCTCTCTCTCTTTTGTCATCAATATTGTATCAGTTTTATTCTTGCTCACCACTGTGTGTCTTTCCTGATGTTCAACATCTGCTTCAGCTTTTTGTTTCTGTGCACATCTAGATTTCCTTGTCAGTGGAGTCTGAACTCTTATTGTTCTACGTCTGAGATGTCTTTCTGTGCTGATTGGCACCTCTTCTTCCTGGACATGTACCTCCTGAGCAAGACTGCTCATCCCTATGTCACGGTCCAATTGTCCAGCTAAATTTGCTTCCTTGTTCTCAATATTTTTGATGTCTTCAACTCTGTTTTCTAATACATCCTCCTTAGCTTCTGTTGCTATAAGTGGGATTTCCTCAGTAACCTTTGTAATCTGAGGTTCTTTCTCTTTATCATCTATTTCTGCAGCTCTAAGGATTTCAGAGCTTCCACATTCAACACTTGCAGTTTCATCAGCATTTGTGTTTGCCATTTCATTCTCCTCTGGACTTACATCCTCCACAATAAGTTCATCCCTCTCAGGGTTTTCATCAGTCCTGAGTTTTGCATCAACTTGAGGCTCAACACTTTCCACCTGTTGAATCACTGCTTTGCTACGTGTAGATCTCCTAACAGGGGTGATCTTGACTGGTTTCAAAGTGCTCCTAAGACATCTAACTGTCACCCCAGGGTCAACAGGCTGATCTTTAAGTCTTGTGGATCTACTTGGGATGTCGATAGAGCCTTTCTTTTGAGTTTGTTTGCCTTGCATGGGAAACTTGTCTGCCTCATACAAATCTTGCTTATCCTCTTTATCTTGTTCAGTGTCCGTTATCTCTGGTACCTCAACTTGGCTTAGAAGAACAGCCTCTGTGGTTTCTGATTCTGGCTCATACTCTTGATCTTTGTATGCAGTTGATTGTTCTGGAGTTCTGTTGGCATCAGCTGCTACAACATATCCTTCTGTTGTAGTAGTACAGGCTGGTTCTTCCATGGGTTTGGTGTCTAATGTACCATCTTGTTCTTCTTTTCTCATATTTTCTTCAGTTGCTTGTAGCTCAGATGACATGGTGAGTTTAATTTCCTCTTGTTCAGGAATACCGATCTCTCCATGATTATCACCTGCCTCCTTAGGAGAACATTCATGCAGATCTACAAGCACAACTTTGGCTTCACTCAATGTCAACATCTCAGTGCTATTCTCCACTGTCTCCTCATCCTCTTCAGGTGTTGTTTTTGATTCCTGTATCTCAGGAGGCTCTACAGACGACTGTAGTGGTGCTTCTTCTTGATCTGTTTCGTTTCTTTCCACTAATTCAGAAACTTCAGGAAATACAGTTTCCTCAACCTGTGTAATTTCAACGTCCATAGTAGACACAGTTTCCACTGTAAGCATGTCTTTTTCTTTGTATTCCTCAACCTCAGACTCTACCTTATTTTCAATTTGAGCTTCTTGTATCTTTTCCATAACCTCAGAAACATCATGTTCAGGTTCATCTGTTGATTGTTCAGTATCTTCATCTTGCATAATTACTTTGCTGTGATGTTTGGATCTTTGTTGGCCTGTTTTCACAGACTTTGTAGTTGCAAGATCTGTTTCAGCAGGCTGATGCCTGAGTCTTTTGGACTTCCTTGAAGGAGTTAAACCTGATGTTCTCTTGTTGAAGTCCTGTTCTGGCTCATCAGGGCCTAAAGTATGTTTACTTGCTTTTTCAATTAGTGTATCCTTGTTTGTCATTGTTTGGTTTGGTTCAGGGACTTCTGTTTCAGCCTCATTTTGTTTGGGCTGGTCACATAAGATCTCTTCAGTAGTAAGGACCTCTCTCACAGAATCTGCCTCCATCTCTATCTGGTCTTTAACTTCCACAAACTGTTGCAAAACTGTGTCTTCATCCTTTGGTTCACTTTTCTCTTGGCCTGTGTTTTCATCTCTGTTTTCCTCAATTAGGTCCTTTTCACTTTCTGCCATAACCTCATCTTCTGCTCTTTCTTTATTCTCTGTTATTTCCATATCCCAGTGTGTTTGTACTTTTTCTGTTGATTTAGCACGAGTCTCTGATTGCTCGGCCACCTCACTCGCAGTTTTTTCCTCTTTCGGTTCATCTGGCATTTGTTTTATTTCCTCCATCTCTGCCTCACACACAGGTTCATCTTCCTCAACCTCTTCGTTCTTTCCTAAATTTTCATTTTTTCCCTCTTCAGTTCCTGTACTCATCTTAACAATTTCTACGTCCACCACAGACTGAAGTTGGTTTTGGTCAATAGACCCTATAGTGGCTCCTTGTATATCTATAGTGTACTCCTTAATAACCATTTCACATTCCTCTTTACTACCTCTTTGGTTCTTTATTTCCCCAGCTGTGGTGAGGTGGGTGACTGGACTCCCCTCTGATGTAGCTGTGACAATGTCGTTTTCAATTTCACGTGTCTCCTCTTTTTGTGATCCTCTAAACTCTGCAAAGTTGGTCACAGTTGCAGTTACAGTGTCTACTGAGCTCTGCCAAATTAGAGAAGAGAGATGTTAATTAATGAACTGAAAGTGTGAAAATTACAAAAGGCCATTTTAAGAAAACAAAGTCACGTTTGCTTCAGTAATAACAGCTTGAACATTATTATTATGTTCAAGCTGTTATTACTGAAGCAAACATGATGTTTATTCAGTTGAATACATACCCTGAGTACTGTTTCTGATTCTTTTACAGAAAAAGTGTTAAGATTTTCCACGGCTGCCACCTCGACTGAACTTTCAACTCCTGCCTCAATGTCTTCCACCCTTTGTGAGACATAGTTATTTATATACATAATGTAGTAATCAATACTGTTATGTATTCTGCTGACAAATAATATGTTACCTGATTATGTTCCCTGAAAGCCTCTCCTCTGAATTTTCTCTGATAGCTCTTCGTTTCAGGTTGCTACCTCTGCCACGCCTTGTGACAGGTATGTCATCTACTTTTGTAACAGTGACAAACATCAGCTAGATTCAGCTGAAGAGACTTTTTTGAGCAAATTATTGTTCAACCAACAATTTATACTTGCCTTTGGTGATGTCTATGATGGTCTCCTCCTAAAATTTGAAAGTTGATATCAATGTTAGATATAAGATTCACTTTGTAATATTACTGTATATACAGTAATTTTGTTATCCAAACTAGCAGTCAGTTAATATGAGTTTAACCATTCAGCCATTGCCTTGATGCAATCACATGCATCGATCTTAACATTTACTGTATATAATAATCAAAATGCTAAAAATCGAATTAGTTGCCAACTAATTATGTGGGCACAACTGCATGCAGAAATCATTTGAAGTTTAATTATCGATATTTGTTTTCTCTTGTACTTACACATGTAGTCTTGAGATAATCTAAAAGTAAATTGTAGTGAGATAATGATACTTTCATGTTGTGATATTTGGATTAAAGTTACTGATTAAATTTTTTCTAAGTAATATGCATCTCTGGTCACTCACAAACACTGTTTGTTAGTTTTACATTCTCTGTTGTATTCCAAGTAACCTATATGCTCATGTTAGTAATGGGTTTCCTTTCGAGACACTTTTGGTACAATAAACAATCTGAAGCTTTTCTTCTTTTCCTTGCCTATGATACATTAGGAGAAATATTTTAAAAATCCTATAAATCGTATTGTATTTGAAATGGTCTGAATTTCCCAAATCAATTTTAAATCAAATAGGAAAGTTAACTGAATAAATGTTCTGTCAAAACAAAGTTAATTAACACAAAAGTAACAGAAATTAGAGTACCACAATCTCCACTGTATATTCAGTGGTTTCCTGAATTTTTGTGATCTCAATTTCCATCGGAGCAGTGGCATCACCTTCGTCAAAATTCAGTTTGCTCACAACCTGGTCCTTCTCTGTTAAAGACGTATCACATTATTAGGACTATAAATCCCTTTCAATTAATTACACGAAATGCCAATTAATTCATTAAATTCATCATCACAAATAATTACAAATATCAATATTTCCATATCACGGAAACTAAAAATACAGATATTTTTCTTACCCTTTAGCTTCAACTTCTGTAACCTGTTGGCTATTAGAATTCTCTGGAAAGGGCTTCCTATTTTCTCTACTTCCCACAGAAGCTCCTTGTCTGCTGGATATCTACTGAAGTACTTTTCACAAACTGTAAAGAAAGAGGTAGATGCCAAGCATAGAAACCAAGAATAATATCTGTTATATGAGAAAATGTGACATTTGACCGGACTGTAGGTCTGCTTCTATACCTTTATAAATAGCTTCTGAAAGAGGAAATTTTAACCCTATGTACTCATTTCTGAAGCTACCAACAAAGTCTTCCAGTATCTTTATGGCATGACCCTGGCCCCGGTGACACTTCCTGACAAATATTGTGTCCATTACAGGAAGTTGATAGCATTGGGTCACGAAGTTTCTGCATAAGCTACCTGTAAGTGAAGAGAAATATGAAGTAACCAACAAGTAAGGTATGAAATTGTACATGAGGCTTTGAAGGAACTGTCATTGCCTTTGGGTTTGAATGAGTAAAAGCCAATGGCCTCTCCATCCTCCCATAGTATTTTTGCAGCTTCACGCTCACAATGACAGAGAAAGAAAACATCTTCACCGCTCTTCTCATTTCTCAACACAATTCTGTTGAGAACATATAGGACTATCCTTTCCCCAAGTGTGCTGACCTGGAAAAAATATGGCACTAGTTATTAACATTTACTTATACATATTTGCAAAAGAAACCAATTTGCTAATGATGACACATTAGGTCATTGATTGAAGCATTACTGGCCTTGCATAAAATTAGAAAACACTGACCTTGATCAGGCCTGTTCTTGAGGGCTCTGCTGTTTTAAGAACATCTTCAACCCCCCACCACCGATCCAGCAAATATAGACCTACAACTGCAGATTATTGTAATAAATCTGTTAAAAAATACAGTGTTAGCATCACAACATGTTAAAAAAAATTTCTGGTTTTCATCACTTTTGACTATATTACTTGTGTTCGAGTCATCAGGTGAGAACAACGCAAGGAGCTTTTTTTCAGTATCTGTTCCATATAGAGGGACAAAACTCACATTGCAGAGTCCAACTTCTATCTGTCACCGAGGGAACATAATTGAAAATGTGAAAATGTTTGTCATAACAAAATGTTTTAAAGTCACATTGTGCAAATGCATTCGACACCTTGTTAAAAAAATAGGATTCTTTGGGAAAACACACAAAGTCAATATTCCGAAAACATAATTTGTCCTTAATCCTTTATTTTGAATAATAAAAGTATTTACTTATTTAAAGGGAACAATTTTTAACCTTATATATATATATATACATTTTGGAGGGAAGATTTGCAGACAATATACTTGTTCACCTTACCTGTTCGGAATCAGAGAGGCTGAAGTACTCTGTATTTCTGTAGGGGAGCTGAGACATGTATTCCTCAGCTGTTAGCTCTAAGGTCTCATGATCCACATTTGTCAGAATATCTACAGGAAATGCCATCCTATGGAAGAAAACATTTGTTTAAAAAAATACCCCTCATATAATATCTAAAAATGCATGTACATTTACTGTATGGAAGTCCCAAATGATAATGACTGCTTATAACCCATGTTTCATAGCTTTTGGACCAACATTTACTGGTAGATAAAACATGGTCACCAAGGCTGCATTTAATCAAAATGCAGTACAACTTTATTTTCATTTAATTTCCGATTAAAATTCAAATCAAATTTCATTTCAATTTAATTTTCTATTTGAATATATTTTAAAGTGCCTTTTTTTTTTTTCCTGTGATGGTAAAGCTGAATTTTCAGCAGCCATTACTCCAGTCTTCTGTGTAACATAAATTCAGAAATCATACTAATATGCTGATTTGGTGCTCAAGAAACATGTCTTATTATTATTAGTGTTAAAAACAGTTGTGCTGCTTAATGTTTTTTTGTGGAAACCGTGAGACCTCGAAAGAACAAAAGTTTGTAAGAGACAATTTTCCAAATTCTCAACAGAACAGAACTCGGTCTTGAAACAAATCTACAATAAGCAATGTATTACTTTGTATGGTGAGTGTGACAGATTATGTCGTTGTAGCATTCCTGATGAGCATGGTGAAACATCACTTTGTTTGAATGGCAAAATATGCATTTAAAAAATGTTTAAATAACCAAACAGACCTTTTCAACTTAGAAAAACATGATTTTAAAGATAGATTCAATATGGAGTCACAAACCAAAAACGTTCTGAAATCCTTTGTTCACTGTAGATCTCCTTATCACAAATGGCACATTGGCCTCTAACTAGTACAAAGCAAGGTGCTTAATATCTGTTTAAATGTATCTACCGCTTTAACTGTGGCTTTTTAGAATGTGCTAAATGCTGCTTGCGACATAAGGCTTAGAATTGCCCTTGAGTGATAGAACTGACAGCCGCTCTAGAAGATTATTGAAAAACATATCATGGATAGCTTAAGGTATTCTGGTGTGCCACACTTCCAGCTCAACTCAACCACATAAACGTTAGTAGTTCTCACATTTCATACCAAGTAGCTCTGCAGAAATATAGAGAGAGTCCTGGAGTTGAAGAACATAGAAGTAGGAGGAGCAATGTATGTAACATACACACAAAACAAACAAAGCTGTCTGTGTTGTGGGCCTCTTTCCTGGTTTGGCACATTTGTTTAATGCTCATATAGTTGCCTTAAAGATCACATGTGTAATTACATACTTGTTGTATGTATCATCTGTCTCTTCACGGTCTCTACATACCACCTTTGAAAGTGCAAATCCCACTGAGAAATGACAGTAACTGTAAAACATTCAATACAAAGCATACACTCAAGGAGCTACAAGAATGATATGTAATGAATTATGCCTTTAGAGCACAGACTGGATGTTAGCTTGTGTCTGAACCAGTCAATACAAGAATGTGTTTGTTAGTAAGCCTCATAACAAAGTGGGTTTGTTCATGTTTGTGCCTCTACAGTGAATATATTTGATAGGAAAAACAGTTAAGGGCTGCCTTATGAATTAGTCAATGGCCCTTCTGTCAGGCAACATTACCAGTGAGGCAGAAAAGCAAGCTTTGTGCGTGTCTGTGTGTTTGGGTTTGCTGAGAACCAGATGAACACCTCACTCACGTACACACCTGCAGGGCAACTGGATATGAATATTGGCTCTTTGCAGAAACATGCTCGTTGTGAACTACAACTGCACAACCAGCGTGCAATCTGGTTAACTGGAAGTTATCAAACATAACAGTAGCTACCTAGCTTCTCAACGTACTTATATCATGATGTGCTTGATTAATGACACTGATGGCAAGTCTATGTCAACTTCAAATGAACTCCTGTCTTTAGCAAGCCAGTCATGTGGATTCATATGATCAATTCATTCAAAGGTATCAAATTTACCAGATTCAAAAGTTGCTCTCCAAATTTCAAAAACGTATTACATTACTTTATTCTCTATAGAAGAGCAGCAAACTTTTATGAACTGTATTTTACAGAACAAATTTAATACAACATTGCCCACATTCATGTAAAATAGGAGGTGCTTTGCACATGGCATTTACATGTGACATTGTAGGCCAATATGAAAACAAGTCGTGCAGAAATTCTACATCAGTGCATGTGCTAATGGACTTGTCTTAACATTTATCTGCAGCATGCACTAAAATATGTGACCCTGGACCACAAATCCAGTCTTAAGTCGCTGGGGTATATTTGTAGCAATAGCCAACGATAATACATTGTATGGGTCAAAATTATAGATATTTCTTTTATGCTTTTAGGATATTAAGTAAAGATCATGATCCATGAAGATATTTAGTAAATTTCCTACTGTAAATATATCAAAACTTAATTTTTGATTAGTAATATGCACTGCTTAATTTGGACAACTTCAAAGGCGATTTTCTCAATATTTAGACTTTTTTTTTTTTCACCCTCAGATTCCAGATTTTCGAATAGTTGTATCTCGGCCAAATATTGTCCTATCCTAACAAACCATACATCAATGGAAAGCTTATTTTTAATCTTTCAGATTATGTATAAATCTCAATTTAAAAAAATTGATTTTATGACTGGATTTGTGGTCCAGTGCAGGGTTGCCAGGCTTTCACAACAAGACCCACCCAATTGCTACTCAAAACTAGCCCAAAATTGGCCAATGGCATTTCGAGGGGGGTCCCCCGGTAAAAATCTGTTCCAGGGGTAAAATATATATATATTTTTTGGTGGGGTTCCCCTGGTAAAATTCACATTTTAGGGGCTAAATATCACATTATTGGGGTTGCTTCAACCCACGGACATGAAAACAACCCGCGGCAACAGTAATAAAGTAGCCCAATTCCACGGGAAAACCCAATTTAAAAAAATTGATTTTATGACTGGATTTGTGGTCCAGTGCAGGGTTGCCAGGCTTTCACAACAAGACCCACCCAATTGCTACTCAAAACTAGCCCAAAATTGGCCAATTGCATTTCGACGGGGGTCCCCCGGTAAAAATCAGTTCCAGGGGTAAAATATATATATATTTTTTTTGGTGGGGTTCCCCTGGTAAAATTCACATTTTAGGGGCTAAATATCACATTATTGGGGTTGCTTCAACCCACGGACATGAAAACAACCCGCGGCAACAGTGATAAAGTAGCCCAATTCCACGGGAAAACAGCAGACTTGGCAACACTGGTCCAGGGTCAAATTAACTAACAAATAAATAAATACTTTAGCAACCAATAAACATTCTTTAAATAAACACGTTCAGAAACAATTTTAGCATCACTAAAGTTTGGGATAAAGCTTTGGTATAATGTTTATCTGCAGTGTGCATAAAAACTTTTTAAATTAATTATTAATAAATGAATAAATGAATGACAACATATTTATATAAATGTATTAATTTATGCAGAATAACTAAACATTGCAATAACACTTGGGAGAAGTCACCTAAACAATACCACCAACTGTAATATATATAGACATACTATTTTTAAAAAGCTTAATGAAGGAAGAAATCCAAGGACACAGTGTGCATAAAAACTTTTTAAATTAATTAATTAATTATTAATAAATGAATGACAACATATTTATATAAATGTATTAATTTATGCAGAATAACTAAACTTTGCAATAACACTTGGGAGAAGTCACCTAAACAATACCACCAACTGTAATATATATAGACATACTATTTTTAAAAAGCTTAAATGAAGGAAGAAATCAAAGGACACACAAAGACAAAAAAAAAAACTTGAATTCCAGAGGAATTTCGTGCAAAGACAATGCTTTATCTAAAACATAAAGCAAGCAAAAGTATCTGAAGTTTTCAGAGTCACCAGTGAAGGGGCCCCTAACAAAAGCTCTGAACACTGTGTACTTTAAACGCGCTAAAGCAGAGTGGGTGTGTGTGTCCCGTCAAGCTGCAGGAGGAATCCCTGCATTTAAAGTCCCACGAACCAAAACAGCCATCCAAAACAAACTAATTCAATACTTCATACACGCGTTCCTCCATCTCAACTAGAGACATTTATCGGGAAACCATTTAAAAACATCTATACGAACATATTCGCTCGGAACTCGTTGTCTACGTTCCTGAATGCGTGTTTCGAGAGGGTTTCCGAGTAAAAACTGTGCAGTGCGTGTGCATATGTGCAAAAATGATCTTTTGTGTTTAAACATCTATGTTTTGAACGTGGGCCTGTCGAGCTATTTAAAGCTCACACTTGAGCTGGACCGGGCAGGATTCGTCAAGTAAAACGCTAATAAAGCATGCCGCCCCCAAAAGCTTGCAGTTGCATAACACAGCGCACATGTGTCATTAATAATTAACTTAATTAAACATTCTGGATGTGCTCTGTTCTGCAGTTCTGCAGCAAAGACTGTTTTGTTAAAACAATTTTTATTCGTAAATGATTCTCGACATACAAATGGCCAGACTTGGGCAAAAGTGAAGTATTTAAATAAAAATGCATGATTCATTCCTCATAAAGAGTGGACCTGGTGAACTGGAGCAGGAGCAAGAAGCTTAGTAAACAAACACTAATCCAGTGCGCTGATGCGTACTTGGCACGTCGCGCCATTACATTGTTGATTTGAAGAAGAAAAATAACGACAGAGCATTTTTCATAGAAAGAAAACGGGGGACTTACCTGATTTTTAAAAACTCCGTCGATTATAATAATTTTTTATTCCCGTAAACCCCCGTGGATGAATATTACGTGGCTGTTACACAGTAGTTGTGTGTATGTAAGCGCGAGCTGGAGCCCCCCTCCCTCCCTCCACTTTGAGAAGCGCACGAGCAGCCAACGGGAGATGAGCGCACAATCGCGTTATGCAATCACATTCACACTGCCTAAAACCTACATACTAAATCTGGAACGCGTTTGATATTCAAAACAAACGTAGTAGGCCTATTTGAAATAGAATAAACACAAATGTGTTATTAGTAGAATTAATCAACTATATCTTCAGGAGTATAGGCCTAATTGCATAGGCCTAGTCACAAATGAAGAATCTGACTTCTCCTGAAAGAAATCTGATCCAGAAGATCAGTAGACAGACAGAGAAAGCATACAAATAGTTAGTAGAGCTAAAGACCCCCATCAGCATGTGAGGCAAATGTTATCATTTAATTTGTTTGACAGAACATTGTTTTGCAAAGTTATTAAATCCCATTACCTCAAATTTGTAATGTAAAATGTAAATGAAGGATCTGGGGCTGGTTGCATAAAATGTCTTACAAGTTTTTTTCTTTAATACTGGTAATAACTTTTTTAAGTTAGTTACATAAAGTTGAATCAGAAAATTTGATCAACCCTTGGTTATGCTAGTTGGTCAAACTAGTTCTTAGGACACAGTCTTAACATAAAAGCTAAGTTTATGCAGCTGACACAGCATCTAGCATCTACACAGCATCTAGTGTTGACGAAATTAGTGGTCACTTTTGTTGCTATATTTACCATTTTATGCGAAAATAGAATCAAAATGTTTCATTGTGTCTTACTTTTGGGGTGTGTTACAGTTGAAATAATGCTTATAAAGGAACATTCAGTTATAAATCATGTAAGAGTATAGGCCTAATTGCATAGGCCTAGTCACAAATGAAGAATCTGACTTCACCTGAAAGAAATCTGATTCAGAAGACCAGTAGACAGACAGAGAAAGCATACAAATAGTTAGTAGAGAAAGACCCCCATCAGCATGTGAGGCAAATGTTATCATTTAATTTGTTTGACAGAACATTGTTTTGCAAAGTTATTAAATCCCATTACCTCAAATTTGTAATGTAAAATGTAAATGAAGGATCTGGGGCTGGTTGCATAAAATGTCTTACAAGTTTTTTTCTTTAATACTGGTAATAACTTTTTTAAGTTAGTTACATAAAGTTGAATCAGAAAATTTGATCAACCCTTGGTTATGCTAGTTGGTCAAACTAGTTCTTAGGACACAGTCTTAACATAAAAGCTAAGTTTATGCAGCTGACACAGCATCTAGCATCTACACAGCATCTAGTGTTGACGAAATTAGTGGTCACTTTTGTTGCTATATTTACCATTTTATGCGAAAATAGAATCAAAATGTTTCATTGTGTCTTACTTTTGGGGTGTGTTACAGTTGAAATAATGCTTATAAAGGAACATTCAGTTATAAATCATGTAAGTTTCTGTTGTTAAATTTATAAAATTTGTGAAGTTAATGAATTAATTAGTGTTGACAGTTTTAGTTCATTGGTAAGAGTGTGTTTAAGGGTTTTGTTACTGTCTAGAAATAAAATACCCAGGAAAGAGAAATCACAAACAAATCTATTTTACATGTAACAAGGGATTGAAATTCAGAATTGGTTAAACCAGAAACGAGACACTATGAATAGCCAAAAGTGTTATAATTACAGACAAATAAAACCACAATAAAGTAGCATGAAAAAAATCATACAATGTTACAATGTTTCATGACCGCAAAAGAAAGGTGATTTTCAACTGAAAGAATATTTCACCCAAAAATGACATTCACTGAACATTTACTTACCCTCAGGTCATCCAAGATGTAGATGAGTTTATTTCTTCATCGGGACATATTTGGAGAAATTAATGTTACATCACTTTGTCACCAATGCATCCATTGCAGTGAATGGGTGGAACTCTCATTATGACGGCACCTCAACACTGTGTTCAGATTTGACAACAAAGCATGCATCAAAATTCAGAGTTTCAACAGTAACATTTGTCAAGCACCATGTCCAAGACTAAACTTTGCTGTGCACCTTCATTTCATAGATCTGTACTTTAACTGTCAACAATGAAGTTAAACTCCATAATGAATTTAAAACAGATGAAAATAAAGCTGAGAGGGTACTTGTATTGCAATTGCATACATGTTGTACAGATCCTTAATGTAATTTTTACAACTCACGACTTTCAAAATTGTTTTATGGATTCTTTTTTTTTGTTTGTTTACTGAAAGTTTTTTGGAAAAAGATAATTAGCTAAACAACTGGCATGTTGTTATATCATGATAAATAAAATATCCTTTAAACACACTGCACTTTTATCCCACACAGCCTTGTTTTCATTCCTGTCAAAAATTAAATATTGCATTACTCTGATTAAGGTCTATTGTGTTATTATTATAGGTCTTATTTGTGTCTATTTTATAGAGAAATTATGTGTTATTGCCTAGTTTTCCTGCCATTAGTCTATAAAATTGTCTAAATAGTCTCTATAAAAGTTTGTTTGTTTGGATAATTTGTATTATAATAATCTTGTTTCTGCCATATGTATAATATTTTGTCAAATAACTTATTTATAAATTAACAAATAATTATAAATAGTCTATAAAATTGTCTAAATAGTCTCTATAAAAGTTTGTTTGTTTGGATAAGTTGTATTATAATAATCTTGTTTCTGCCATATGTATAATATTTTGTCAAATAACTTATTTATAAATTAACAAATAATTATAAACCTGTGAGGCCAAGTTTCTATGAAAAGAGATTGTGGTAGTTTTTCATTTGTGACTTAAAAGATGTTTTATGTAATTTATCAATGTAATTTATAAATGTTTAAAGTTGTTTCTTGATTCCATTTTATCAGTGAACAAAATCCTTTTTCTTGAAATTACATATCTCTTTCTATTTTAGATTTATTGTGAGAAATGATACATTTCATAGCGTTATTGCGCTGTACCTTTTATGGTCACTAGGTGGCGTGCAAAATTCGTTTTAGACGGTGTGACGAGTTTGAAGTACAGCTGATTTACCCTTATTAAACCTGCAGACTGGAAAATGTCAGGGAAGCGTTATTAATTTTTGAAAGGAAATTTCTGTATTAAAAAAACAACAACAACAAAAAATAGATATACAAATAATTAAGAAGTAATAAAAAATTGCATACATTTATATGATTTAAACATAATAAAACCCTCAATAGAGATTTCACAACATGCCCCGAGCTGACATTTTTTAAATATATAGCCTACACTTTGTCCTGAGACCATAAGTCGGCCTTTCAGTTATATGCTAGTCTGTGTTCAGTTGTTTAACAGCTTTAGCCATTTAGCTAGTTTTGAAATTGTGAAAACCTTATAGTCACTCACTACAGACAAATTACCCCAAGCCCCAATGAACCCTATATGCTTATAATAAATGACTGGATTGATGGACCACTGCTGAACCTGTTTAAAACATAAACATGGGGAAAATAAATTCACACTGTTTAATCACACAGTAAGAAAAATACATATATTTTCTTACAGTACTATATACTGTGTATATATATATATATATATATATATATACACACACACTGAACATGAGGCAACGCTTAATTCAAAATACTGGTAAAAATCTATATAAAAAACCTGTGAAAAATCTATATGGAAAATTCCTTTACATTATATCAACACAGTACTGCTTTCCCAGAATTCAGGCCTCAGTTATTAATTTTGTGTAAATTTATTGTAAACGTATTTAAAAATTACCCAACCTGACACTTATGAGAAATTACTCTTGTGCTGAGATCATAGATGCCTTATATTCAGCAAAACCATGATTGGACTATACTTGGATCTAGGGCTGGACAATAATTCAATATCAATATGTATCGCGATATAATTTTTTTCAATAACGGTGATATGATTTTTAAACACATTTCCGATATTTCGATATACATTACCAGTTTCCCATACATTGATTTATTTGTGCCGTTTGACTTCGTTGAATAAACATGAGCACTGCACGTTTCAATCAAAGCAAAACATCTGAACATGGGAGTGTAAATGCTTATTTATTCAACCCCACCCTCCTTTAATGTCTTCATTCACATATTTCCTCTCCATTACCTCTCCTTTCTCTCTTTATACACTTCTCATAACTAACCGAGGAGTGCAGGAAGCCGCGGTGGCCCTCACACTGCAGGTTATCTGCCTGTTCTTCTCCCCCACTGACTATCACCCTCTGTGGAGTCAGTGACCTGTAACCACCTGGGCAGAAGAAGAGTGAGGATACATAAGACTTCATATCAATAATTGAAAGAAACTCTGCCCCCTCGTTTTAATTTATTGATAAGCCCACCTTGCAATATTCCTTAATTACTCCGCCACCTGCACGCCCACCCTATAGAATGCAGAGGAAGCCATTACGGGAGGCCAGAAAATGATCCGCTGCATCAACAATTGTATCTTTGTGTGGCTAAGACGGAGAGTTAGGTGTTGGGTTACATTAGCACCCTCATGTTGATCATGATAGGGCACATTTCTTTGAAGCTTATTGGAATTGCTCAAACAATAGACCCACACAAGCTGTAATGCTGCAATAACTGTGAGGGGCTTCTAGTGTGTCCATCGCAGGAATTTCAAGAATTTTGATCAAGAGCTGTGGACAATCCACTGAGGACATCACATTGTGTATATTTCAAATTGAGAATAGGCATTTCCTGAGGTTTCAAAGAAAAAGGGGCACAAACAAAAAGTTGACAAGCCAGTCTTCATCGTTTCAGTTAGCTGTCAGCATAGCATTTTTAACAAGGTACTTTCAGTGGACTTAGTGTTAGCTGAATTCAGCCATACAATCTCATAAGACAACTGATGGGATTCTCTTTAATGCAAACAGGTTTGGCAAAAACCGTGAGGCGAGTTGGGCTGCATTCTGGTCTGGTTTGATGTCAGACAAAATAATAGGACATGAGAGATATTATGTTGGTTAGACTGGCTACTTTCTGGGCATATCCAAAAGACAGTATCCACATTCCATACAAGAATGGCTTGCATAAACAAATCTTTGAA